AGAGTGATGTCTGCGTTGTTTCGTGAAAATCGGTCCAGATTTAGATATAGCTCCCTTTTATTATAGATTGATTTTAAGTAATTGACGCACCAAGAACCAATAGGAACAAAACGTTCTGAAATTAGTATAACCTATCCTGTGACAAGTTTGTTTGAAATCGCTTAATCCATATATATTTTCGCCCGATTTCAAGTAAATTGGGCATCAAACTCCTCATGTTAGTCAGTTTGACATCAAATTTTGCACAACGTACAAAATTGAGCATAGAATTATGTAGTTGCGTTTTCTAGAAGTACAGACATAGCCCAACGGATGACCCATTTATATTTGTTTGAAGTCGATTTACATACTTTATGGATAGATCTACGTAGATTCACATTTAGATAAATATCACATATTTTATTTCATCCAATTTCATGCTAATATTCCTGATAAAATATACCCATAGTGGTGAAGGGTATCATATAGTCGGCCCCGTCCGACTTTACTACTTTCCTTACGGGTTTTTTTTATAAATCTACGCCTTAATAGACCTTACAATAATTTTCTTTAATAAATCCACGCCTCGAAGGACCTTAAATTAATTTTCTTTAATAAATTCACGCCTAGATGGAGCTTCAAATAATTTTCTTTAATAAATCCACGCCTTGATGGACCTTAAATTAATTTTCTTTAATAAATCCACGCCTCGAAGGACCTTAAATTAATTATCTTTAATAAATTCACGCCTTGATGGTGCTTCAAATAATTTTCTTTAATAAATTCACGCCTTGATGGTGCTTCAAATAATTTCCTTTAATAAATTTACGCCTTGATGGTGCTTCAAATAATTTTCTTTAATAAATCCACGCCTTGATGGTGCTTCAATAATAAATTCTCGGCTAGATGGAGCTTCAAATAATTTTATTTAATAAATTCACGCCTAGATGGAGCTTCAAATAATTTTCTTTAATAAATCCACGCCTAGATGGAGCCCTTCAAAATAAATTCTTTAATAAATCGCACACCTAGATGGAGTTGAAATAAATTTCTTTAATAAATCCACGCCTAGATGGAGCTTCAAATAATTTTCTTTAATAAATCCACATCTAGATGGAGTTGCAAATAAATTTCTTTAATAAATCCACGCCTTGGTGGCCCCTAAAATAAATTTCTTTAATAAATCCACGCCTTGGTGGCCCCTAAAATAAATTTCTTTAATAAATCCACACCTAGATGGAGCTACAAATAAATTTCTTTAACAAATCAACGTTTTTCTTCTATTAAATTTAAGGTTTTAAGTACACACGAAAAATAAATTAATAGGAAGTTGTAAAGGCTGACGAAAAAACCTACAGCTAATACAAAATTCTTTTGAATATTTCTCCAAAAAGTTTTAATAAGGAAACGGAAGAAAATCCAAAGTAAAAAAAATCTAAACAAATCATAGGAAAACAATGTCAAAGCCTTTGACACAATGAAATTTATAATAGCGTATAATAAGCAGGGAGCGAAGATTCAATCAGAACATTTCACTCCTGTATAAAATTTATACAAAACAATTTGTGGCGCATAACCCGACCATAGCCATTCCACGTTACAATCCTTTAGCCACCTACAAAAAAGTTTCATAAAATGCAATGTTTCGCCAAACAAGCTGAATTTTTGCTAAACAAAATTTTATTACGGAAGTACGTGCAAACAAAGTTAAGAAAAAGGAAAAAGAAAAAAACAGGAGAATAAGCAGATAAAGGAAGGGAAACAAGACACAACATTTGCCATAGACAAACTCATTTTTAGAAGGACAACAAAAAAAAATGTACCTCACTTGAATCCTAAATATCCTTCTAACGGGGGCAAACAAAATGCGTAATTTTTATTTTTTGGCCATAGCAAGTACATGTTAATGGGAATGAAGTTTGCAAAAAAGCAAACAACATGTTAATGTGATTTTCCTTTATCTCATAGAAGGGTAAAGGAAGACAACACAATTTGTGGATGAAGGAAGTCATTTAAGGTGGCCATTTTTTTATTTCAATAAAGCATTGGACACAAAGACCAATGGGATAACAATTTTGAGATTAAGGGATTATCTTAAAAAAGTGAACTTCAGGAGATTTAAATATTTTATTTTATTAAACGCTGATATCCGGACAGCTTGAGCGGCAGGCCAACTAAAATTCCCTAATCTATTCATTATTTTTATATAATTTACGGAATTTCCATTAGACCGTATTTTGTATATCTATCATAGAGGAGACAAGCACCAACCATTTTAAAATAATTAAGTTGTCCTGCGATCGATGGTATAGACACAACTCACCGCTGTAATGTCGAGGGGATAATCAGTAAATGTATTTCAAAATATTTATGTTGCCCTGTGATCAATAGCATAGACACAAACCATATACATATTGTCGATAACTATGTACATGTGATTAGCAGTGCCACCTATGCGTAATTCTATAAACTATTTAATTTGATTTGATTTCATTCCCCCAATTTTCCTACTACATTACCAATAATGAATTAGACAGCGTTGGAAAGTAGTGCGCCTTAGCCAGACACACACATTGAAGACCTGTACAGGTCCACCACAAGGAGGGTCACCTCTTCGTTGTCCTCTCTGTGGAAGACTTCCCACTTTATAATCAGCAGTTTGTTGTTTTGCAGCCAAAGACTGTGGGCCTGAGTTCTGTAGGGATCTCTGATCCAATTTGTAATTGAGGAATGTATCCTATGCTAGTCCTTAGATTTAGCGATTATTTTAAAAAAGCGAACTTCATGAGATTTAAATATTTTTTAGGGAAATCAAACGTCGTTCCTTCTTAGGGTCTACAGATCAACCAAAATTCCTGAATATTTAATTTTATTTACAATTTACTGATACATTGGATCGCAATATTTATGTTAATGATAGGGAAGAGAAGCAGCAAATATTTTAAAATATTTATGTCGTCCTGCGATCGATAGTATAGACACCACTCACCGCTGTAATATCGAGGAGACATGCAGTAAATGTATTTTAAAATATCTATGTCGCCCTGTGATCGATAGCATAGACACAAACCATAGATGTATTGTCGATAACTATGTACATGTGATTAGCAGTGTCACCTATTCGTAATTGTATAAAATATTTAATGCGATTTGCTTCCATTACCCCAATTTTCCTACTACATTACCAATATGATGAATTAGACAGCGTTGGACAAGTAGAGCGCCTTAGCCAGACACGCACATTGAAGACCTGTCCAAGTCCACCACAAGGATGGTCACCTCTTCGTTGTCCTCTCTGTGGAAGACTTCCTACTTCATAATCAGCAGTTTATTATTTTGCAGGCCAAAGACTCCGGGCCTGAGTTCTGTAGGGAACTCTCTGAGAAATGTCTCTTATGCTAGCCCTTAAAAATATATTTTTTAAAACATCTACGCCTCATGCTAGTCTATAAAAATATTCTTTAAACCAGTGAGCGTAGCTATGTAGTCTAAGGGGGCCGACCATATGATACCCTACACAACTCCCACGAAAATCTAACTTTCTGTGATATTTGTAACCATAATCGCGATATTTGTACCCTCTTGACCGACTAGAGGTCAACAAAAATTACTAATATTCACTACAGCCCTTCAAATTACTTGCCCAGATTCCCTTTACCTTGGGTTGTGTTGTGATGTTGAGCTTTCAATTTTGGTCTATCGATCGATTCGAAAAAATACAAAAAATTAACTTTTCGGCCCACTTCATCCCTATATGATTGTCTGATCATCACCGAAAATTATAGGCGTTGTCCTTGACCATAACTGGGACCTCGCGGAACATTTCAAAGTGATCAGCTCTATATTTCCGCCCTCTAGTGTGGTAATGGGTTACTAAATACTATATGAATACGTAACCACCAGTAAATATTTTAGTGTAACTCCCACATCCGAATACATACTACAATATAATTGGTATCGATTTAAAGGTCAACCACTCCTCTTCGATATACTATCAACATTTTGGGTCTATGTCCTTCAGGAGTAAATATGTACGGTATAGAATACAAATTTTATTATTTTTCCACAAACATCAAGGTCCATTTGACTCGCACAAAATTGACCGATCTTTATCAAAACAGGAATGTTTATTCTTTGGTCCTATCCTCTTCTCCCTGTAAAAATTCGCGATGTTTGGGCCATAATTGCGGCCTTTGGAGCGACCAGAAAACCCGAAAAAATTAGTATTTGGTCCATTTCATCCCCTAAATATTATCCGATCTTTATCAAAAATAGGGGTCTTCATTGGCCAGAACCCATCATACATGAAGATTGGTCCATAACTGTGGACATGGATGGATAGACACACATGTCTAGATCGACTCAGCTAGTCGAGATATGACGATCGGTATACTTAAAGGTGGGTCTAGGACCAATATTTCGCGGCGTTACAAACTTTTGGGGCTGCACAACGCTATAATACCCTGACAACATAGTTGTGTAGGGTATAAAAATCGAACCTTATTGAGGTCCCTGAAAAAATATTATTTAAAAATCCACTCCTTATGTATGTCCTTGAAAAAATATTATTTAAAAATCCACTCCTTATGTAGGTCCTTGAAAAAATGTTCTTTAAAAAAATCCACGCCTTATGTAGGTCCTTGAAAAAATGTTCTTTAAAACATCCACGCCTTTTTAGGTCCTTAAAAATATTATTTAATAACTCCACGCCTCGATGGTCCATGAAAAATATTCTTTGAGATATCTTTCAAAAATATTCCTTAAAACCTCACATCCTTTTACGTCCTGTTTTTGTTTTCTTTGTTGTTGCTTAAGACACTTTGTGTCAATTTTCGTGCATCCTTGATATCTTAACATATATCCTATTAAATAGCACAACTTAATATTTTTTTTTTGGAAAAAAACATGTTTATGTTCGATTTTTATGATACCTCCCCCAAAACACTATTCTCTATTTCATATCAATGTCTTTTTCTTCTTCCTCTTTTTTATATCTTTTTTTACCACACAACCTTTTCTAGGTATCTCTAGATGCTGATCGTCCTGTGGTATCGGCCTGTCGTAAAACGAGTTTCTTTCAACACCATCACCACCACAATCACTTGACACATCAACAACAGCAGCAGCAGTTGCAACAGCCACCCGCGAACCAGGCCACAGCCCTCACATCCGGCAACAACTCGCATCATCATCACCATCACTATCCACGCTCCCATCATCTACATCATAATCATCACAACAACAGTCTGCACGGCGGCAGCGGCAGTCAACGTGTCTCCCACATATCCCATTCGTCGAATAATGTTTTACGTGCCCGGCGAGGCGTTGTCCGGATGTTGATTATCTTTGTCTTGACATTTGCTTTGTGCAATTTACCATATCATGCCAGGAAGATGTGGCAATACTGGTAAGTAGAAATTTATATTTGTGTGTGTGTGTGTGTGAGTCAGTGCGATAGGGAGAGATTATGATATGTTGTGACTAGTTCAAAATAAAGTCATCTCCAGACCAAAGAGTACAGCAGTTAATATTGTGCTTACAGCAGAGACAATTGTGTTGGTAGTTGTGTCCTGGTGGTGCGTATGATTGTTATTATGTGGTCTCGTAAAATACAAATATGTTACCCATACGCCTGATGTTGCCGGAGAGGGTTTTTGTTCTGAATGAATGTTTTATTTTTATGTTTTATTTTAAAGTCTTCGAGAATATGTTAAATTATTGCCTTCATAAGAAGTTATGATAACACTTTACGGTGTCTTATGTGAGAACTTCGTGACCAGATCAAAAAATGTTTGAAATAATAAAAAAATAAATAAATAAAACTTAAATTGAAGAAATTAAAGGAGATCTTATGAATGAAGTTTGTATAGGTACACTATTTTCCTGCTCCATAGGTTAACTAAAGCGTGGCTTTAAAGGTATGCTAAATTCCAGCTCTATACGCCAGACGGTCTTCAACTCACTTTGTGAAGGTCTCTGAAAAATATTCTTTAAAAAATCTACGCCTTATGAATGTCCCTGAAAAATCATTCTTTAAAAAATCTACGCCTTGCTAATGTCTCTGAAAAATATTCTTTAAAAAATCCACGCCTTATGGTGGCCTCTGAAAAATATTCTTTAAAAAATCCACGCCTTATGGTGGCCTCTGAAAAATATTCTTTAAAAAATCCACGCCTTATGGTGGCCTCTGAAAAGTATTCTTTAAAAAATCTACGCCTTGGATGGCCTTTGAAAAGCATTCTTTAAAAAATCTACGCCTTGGCTGGCCTTTGAAAAGTATTTTTTAAAAAATCTACGCCTTGTGAAGGTCCCTCAAAAATATTCATTAAAAAATCTACGTTTTGTGAAGGTCCCTGAAAAATATTCTTTAAAAAATCTACGCCTTGTGAAGGTCCCTGAAAAATATTCTTTAAAAAATCTACGCCTTGTGAAGGTCCCTGAAAAATCATTCCTTAAAAAATCTACGCCTTGTGAATGTCCCTAAAAATATTCTTTAAAAAATCTATGCCTTGTGAATGTCTCTGAAAATTGTTCTTTAAAAAATCTACGCCATGTGCTGGTCCTTGAAAAATATTCTTTAAAAAATGTGAAGGATATACATAATTATCAATTCATATAAACGAAGCAGCTGGAACTCCAATCTGTAGCCTTTGCTTATTTGTTCTTTTTAATATCCTGTCACAATTTCTTCCTACAATGTTGACATTGAATTCCTTGTCTGTCAAATGAAAAATAAATCCTCTTACAGTGTAATTTAAAGCTAATATTTAGAGTGTCATATTATGACATTCTCATTGTGAGTAATAATTAATTGATGAGAATTTTTACTATATTTTCTGAATTTCAAAAATAATCTCTCTCAACTTAAATGGACTTCCATTTGAAGGTAGGTAGGGAAGTCAATTGTATAATGTTTGACATTATTGAGCTGTCAATGGAAAGAAGTAATTGATAATTATCCGTGATTAACCAACTCGAAATAAAGAGCCGTCGTGGGCCTTTATAGAGAGGAAAGTTAAAAAAACGACATAAAGAGCCTTTCATAGAGAGGGGTTGAAACCTAGGACAGCATCAAGACTTATAGCGGAAGCAGCAGTAGGGCCGGAATTCACTCCAGATCGCCAGAACCAGCAAACCTGAGTTCCTGTAAAACCAACAGCCGTAGCATCTGACGTTGCAGTCTTTAATAATATAAGTATATGAGATCTGTGTATAAATTTAAGAGTAAATAAAGCGAAGTATTCTGAATATGGAATCTAAAACTAGGTTCTTTTCACTCTCGGTTACTTTAATATAATATACTACACGCTACGATCGGATGCTCAATTATCCATTTTGAGTTAGACCGAATATTTGAAACAAGAGTAATCACATCATGTGAAATCCTGATACCGGACAGAGACTCATGGGACAGCGGAACACTAGCACATATGCCTCCGGGGAACTGTTGTTACACGGATGGCTCTCGGCTAGCGGGAAAGACGGGATTCGGGACTTTTTACTGAAGAACCGGAGACTGAAATCTCACTTCGCCTGCCAGATCACAATACGATCCTACAGGTGAAGGTTCAAGCTATAACGGAAAGTCTAAGCTCTAACTCTGGTTAAGCTCTAACTCTGGACATAATAACACAAATATTATGACAGATAATAAACATGCTATTAATGCAACAACATCCACAACAATTACATCAAAAACGGTATTGGAATGCATCAAAACGATAAACAATTTCTCACTACACGGTCTTGTACGTATAATATGGGTACCGGGTCACTCAGGAGTCATAGGAAACGAGATAGCCAACCAACTCGCCAGACGTACTACTGACCTAATCAACATAGATATGAACAGTGCAAAACCTTTTAGCGCGTCACGTCTAGAAATGAGGTCATGGGCGAAAGAGGCGCACAAAACACTCTGGAATAACGAGAGGATTGGAAAAAGCACAAACATCTTATGGGGAGACCCAAATGAGTATAAGACTAAGCAAATACTTACGCTAAACAAGAAAGAACTAAGCAGACTGTTAGGTATTCTCACAGGACATCTTAGCCTGCAGTCACATATACACAAGATTGGGTGTGCGGGAAGTAGCAGGTATAGAGCGTGTGGGGAAGACAACAAAACGTTGGAACATTTCCTATGTACGTGCCCGGTTTTTGCATGCATCCGAACCCAATTCTTGAAAAATGACACTATTCCTGCACTAAATGACCTAATGGGGTGTAAATGGAAAATACTAATTACTTCAGCACGAACACAGAATTCCTAGAAGAATAGGGAGACCAAGGATTAAGAATAATTTAGTCTAAATACCTTTCCTTCCTAGAGCACAAAACAGGCCTCCAATGGCATAAGTGTATGTCCTACAACGGACATGAGGTGGTGTAAACCACCTCGCTACAGTCTTACGGAATATTTATTCAAGACCCATCCAAGGGGTGGATTTATTAGAGAATATTCTTAAGGGTCACCAATAGGCGTGTGTTTATAAAAACATATTTTTAAGGGTCACCAATAGGCGTGGATTTTTCAAAAATATTTTTAAATTGGTCAGCTTTAGTCGTGAATTTTTTAATAAAAGTTTTAATTTATCAGTTATAGTCGTCGTGATTAAAAAAAACATTTATTAAGGGACACAAAAATATTTTTTTTTTAGGGCTCCATTCATAAAATATAGCAAGAACTTTAGTTTTTGTCTGTTTTTCTGGAAAGCGAAGAAATGGATCCGACCAATATTCGACGGGACAAATGTAACGAATATAAAACAAAAATTGAATTCGGCAGTGAGTGCCAATATTGCCCAGGCTCAGGATATAGATATACAGAAAATTAATGTTGTAGTTGTGTATGGTATAATGTCACAATTTTTTATACCCTTCACCGCACTGTGGTACAGGGTATTATGTCTTTGTGTTTGTAATAGGCAAAAGGAAACGAGATAGACACATGGTTCCTTTTGAGAATATGCATAGAATCACTTTCAGAGTCGATTTATGTATGTCCGTGTTAAATTGTAACCAAAGTACAGGTCGCATTTATAATCAGAATTGATTGAAATTTGGCACAGCTCATTTGTTTGGCCCATGGACGAACCCTATTGAAATTGGGAAAAATCGGTTCAGATTTAGATAATGCTCCCATGTATATTTTCGTCCGATTTAAGGTAAATGGTGTACCAAAGTCCCTATATATCTTTCGATTTGCACGAAATTTGGCACAGTGCAATGCATAAGGTGCAGAATGATGTGTGCCAAGTTTCGTGAAAATCGGTTCAGATATAGATATAGCTCCCACATTTAATTTTGTCCGATTTTATGTAAATGGTGCAGCGAAGTCTGTATATATCTTTCGATTTGCACGAAACTTGACATAGGGTACTGAAATAGGTCCAGAATGATGTGTGCTAAGTTTTGGATAAATCGGGTCCGATTTATATATAGCTCCCATATATATTTTCGTCCGATTTAAGGTAAATGGGGCACCAAAGTCCTTATATAAGTTTCGATTTGCACGAAATTGTGCATAGGGTACTGAATTAGGTCCAAAATGACGTGTGCTAAGTTTCGCGAAGATTCAGATATAGCTGCCATATATAGTTTTGTCCGATTTTATATAAATGTCAAAGTCCCTATATATCTTTTGATTTGCACGAAACTTGGCATAGGGTACTGAATTAGGTCCAGAATGATGTGTGCTAAGTTTCGTGAAAATCGGTTCAGATTTAGATATAGTTGCCATATATATTTTCGTCCGATTTAAGGTAAATGGGGCACCAAAGTCCTTATATATGTTTCGATTTGCACGAAATTGTGCGTAGGGAACTGAATTGGATCCACAATGATGTGTGCTAAGTGTCGTGAAAATCGGTTCAAATTTATATATATCTCCAATTAATATTTTCGTCCGAATTAATGTAAATTGTGCACTAAAGAACCAAAGATTGGCCGACCCGCACACAATTTTGTACAATGTACTGAACTTATTATAACCATTCGTGTGTCAAGTTTTCTACTTTCGTCCGATTTTAAGTAAATGGTGTACTAAAGACCCATAGCTAGGCCGATTGACAAAACGTACTGAAATTAATATGAATTAATCTCGGGCAAGTTTCCTTGAAATCGGTTGAGATTTAGATATAGCATAGCTTCCATATAAAATTTCGACCTATTCATGTTATTCGGCAAATATGTCAGTGTAGGGAGATGGTTCTGTTGAACTCTAATCGGGCAAGATGGTCCAAATATAACGAAATATTGCCCATGCTCGGAATAAAAATCCGCTGAAAGTTAGAGTTCCGTGGTAGTTGTGTAGGGTATCGCATGTTCGGCCCCGGCCGATAAAACTGCTCCGCACACTGGTTTAAAAATGTATTTTCATGGTCCATAACAAGGCGTGGATTTCTTAAAGAATGTTTTTTCAAAGGCCACAACAAAGAGGGATTTTTTAAAGAATATTTTTTTCAAAGGCCATAACAATGCGTGAAGTTTTTAAAGAATATTTTTTCAAAGGCCATAACAAGGCGTGGATTTTTTAAAGAATATTTTTTCAAAGGCCATAACAAGGCGTGGATTTTTTAATGAATATTTTTTCAAAGGCCATAACAAGGCGTGGATTTTTTAAAGAATATTTTTTCAAAGGCCATAACAAGGCGTGGATTTTTTAAAGAATATTTTTTCAAAGGCCATAACAAGGCGTGGATTTTTTAAAGAATATTTTTCAAAGGCCATAACAAGGCGTGGATTTTTTAAAGACCATAAAAAGGGGTAGATTTTTATAGAATATTTTTTCACGGGCCATATTTTTTCAAGACCATAAAAAGGCGTAGATTTTTAAAGAATATGTTTTCAAAAGCCAAGGCGTGAATTTATAAAAAAAAAATATTTTTCAATATACTTTCAACTCAATTTGTCACAGCTTATAATATGGCCCACCTCTGCCGACCTCCATTTCGATTTCCATACGCACACACACATGTTGCTGTGTATTTTGTATTTAATTAAAAGCATTTAAGTAGATAATCTAGCAATCATCCTTTTTGAGTTGACTTTTTGGTTTCATTTATTTTTTTTTTGTTGTTATCTACCGTACAACACATTAAATGGAATTTCAAAAAGACAACCTACACGACAAACCATTACAAATTACATTGATTATGAACGAAATTGTGTTATATAATGAAGTTTAAAAAAAAAATAACAGATTGGCACCGTAGATAATTGGATTTTTATACCGACAAACCCATTATCACCAACAGACACAATACCTTGAAAAAAAAAAAAACAAATAGTGTGTGGGTAAATATCTCTGTTTTTAAAGGACACCACTCATGTGACGTAGCAACAAAAGGAGAGACAGAAAACAACATCAAATAGGACATTGTAAAGTTTTATGTGGGTGTCAAAGGTTATGAGAGCATTAATAAATGAAACTAAATATGTTAGTGATAGATATCCTTTGATAAGTTGTCTTTGTTTGTTTTTCTTATAAAACTGTGGTTTATATACAAAGGAGCAACCTACACAAGATTTATTTTATTATAGATTTCAGGGAAAAAATAATTTAAAAATCTACGCCTTGAATTGAGCTCAAAAAAAAAATCAAGTGAAAAAAGCGTTAATTTCGGCCGGGTCGAACTTTGGATATATTAGCAGATACTAGCATCGGAAATATAGGGTACATACCCAAAAGTGGACCTATACCAAAAAATTCAAAAGGCCATCACCAATATAGACAGGTTTTATTTCGGCTTAAATAAGAACACATATAGCTCTATTTCGAAATTAACATTTTTGCATCAAATTACATTTCTTTACGCTAACTATTAAAAATACTGAAAATCTGTAGGTATCATAACGTTTTCGATATCCTCCGCAGGTGAAATAATTACAACAGAGTCTTAGAACCAAACCCAAAACGCGGAACAAATCAGATAACTATTTTAATATAAACCAGTAAGGAAAGTAGTAAGGTCGGACTGGGGCGACTATATGATACCCTTCACCACTTTGGTATATTATACATACGTATCCGAACTTAAAATGCGATCTTTATCTATGAGTAAACCGACTTACATTAATCCCAACACATGCCATTCTGCAATCTATTCTAAATTTTGTAAGTAGATTTAAAAGAAATTTTGGTATGTTTCACTGTTTAAAATATAATATCAATCAGGCACCTATTGATTATTTGGTGTACAATCAACATGAATAGGTCGAAATTATACATGTAAGCTATGCTATATCTAAATCTGAACCCATTTCAAGGGTACTTGCAGAGATTAATTTATATTAATTTCAGTACGTTGTGTCAATCGCCCTAGCTATGAGTTTTTAGTGCACCATTTACTTAAAATCGGACGAAAGTACATATAGGAGGTATATGTAAATCTGAACCGATTTTTACGAAACTTAGCACATATCATTCTGGACCTATTACGGTACCCTATGTAAAATTTCGTGCAAATCGAATGTTAAATAGGGACTTTGGTGTACCACTTACATTAAATCGGACAAAAATATATATGGTTCCTATATCTAAATCTGAACCGATTTTCATGAAACTTAGCACACATCATTCTAGACCTAATTCATTACGCTGTGCCAAATTTCGTGCAAATCGAAAGATATATAGGGACTTTGGTGCACCATTTACATTAAATCGGTCGAAAATATATATGGGCGCTATATCTAAATCTGAACCGATTTTCACGAAACTTAGCACACATCATTCTAGACCTAAGTCATTACGCTGTGCCAAATTTCGTGCAAATCGAAAGATATATAGGGACTTTGGTGCGCCATTTACATTAAATCGGTCGAAAATATATATGGGCGCTATATCTAAATCTGAACCGTTTTTTTCCAATTTCAACAAGGTTCGTTCTTGGGCCAAATAAGTGATTCGGATTATAAATGCGACCTTTACTTTGTTTACAATTTAACATGGACAGACAGACAGACGGACATGCATAAATCGACTTAGAATGTGATTCTATGCATATTCCCAAAAGGAACCATGTGTCTATCTCGTTTCCTTTTGCCTGTTACAAACATATGCACAAAGATATAATACCCTGTACCACAGTGTGGTGAAGGGTATAAATAACAAGCCTATGCAATGGCAAGCCCTCAGTAGATGAAAGTGAAATACTTCAGTCACAACGTAAATGAGAATTATATGATAGAGCAGCTGACGCGAGCAAATGCGTATGCACTCGTTCCTAGTACTCATGGGGACGTCATGCGTGGTCGATGCTATGGTGGGTGACGTTTTGTATGTATGTGGCTTTTGACACGCTATAATTTGAGAAACATTTTTTTAAAAATCCAGGCCTTTTTTGAGCCTCGAAAAAACATTTTTTAAAAATCCAGTCTGTTTTTGAGCCTTGAAAAATATGACCATTGAAAAAATATTTTTTTTCAATTCCAAGCATTTTTGTGAGCCTTAAAAATTATGACCTTTGGAAAAATTATTTTTTTAAAAATCCAAGCCGTTTTTTGAGCCTTAAAAATATGACCCTTGTAAAAATATTTTTTAAAATCCAAACATTTTTTTGAAAATATGACCCTTGTAAAAATATTTTTTAAAAATCTACGATTTGTTGTGACCATTGAAAAAATATTTTTTTAAAAATCCACGACTTGCTGATTTGATGCCCCTTTTTAAAAAATACACGCCTTGTTGTGAACCTCGATTTTTTTTAATAAATACACGTCTTGCTAGGGACAATGCGTGCATTTATTAAAAATATACATATGTTTAACAAATCCATGCCTTCTTATGACCCTAGAAAAAATATTCTTTAAAAATCCACACCTGTAAAAAATTGCAAATTGAATATCATCCATTATCCTTATGCAAATGTTCCCAATAAAAATAATCCTCTTTTATCTACCTATCTACCTACCACATTGACAGCACTGTAATGTCAAATATTATACAATTGACTTACCTTCAAATGGAAGACCATTTAAGTTGACAGAGATTAATTTCGAAATTCCAAAATATATTGAAATCTCCATCAATTAATTATTACCCACAATTGTGGCGTATTATGCCATTCCAAACCTTAGCTTTTAATTGCACTGTAAGAGGATTTATTCATATGACAGCAATTCAATATCAATACGTCCGATTGATGTTATAAAAAATCTACGCCTTGTATAGACCCTTGAAAAAATTATTTAAAAAATCTACGCCTTGTATAGACCCTTGAAAAAATTATTTAAAAAATCTACGCCTTGTATAGACCCTTGAAAAAATTATTTAAAAAATCTACGCCTTGTATAGACCCTAGAAATAAAATTATTTAAGAAATCTACGCCTTATATAGACCCTTGAAGAAATTTGTTCTAAAAATCTACGCCTTGAATCGACCTTAGAAAAAATTATTTAAAAAATTTAACGTAAGTAATAAACCATCCATCTTTAGGAGCTTTATGGCCTCCTCCAGAGGATGATATTGTTCCACAATCATTTCTTGCCCTGTTGACTTTCAATAACAAGTTTCTCCCCAAAAATAATATTTAACTTTTAGTATTTGTATTGCTTCGTCAATTATTGCGAAACTCCCTTGTCCAAACAATTTGTCATTTCTCATTATGAAAAAAAATACTTTGCCAAACTTTACATCCTCATATATTTTCTTTCTTCTTTGTCTTTCAGGTCTCGTTCATATCGTGGCGATTCGAATTTTAATGCTTTACTAACGCCCCTTACCTTTCTCGTTACGTACTTCAATTCGGGCATCAATCCCCTGCTGTATGCGTTTTTGAGCCGCAACTTCCGCAAAGGTATGAAGGAACTGCTGATGTGCTCGTGGCGTAAAAGTAAAACAAAATCATCAACAAATTCATCGATGCATCACAAACGACAGGCATTACAGGTAAGTAGAAGTGATGGAGCCAAGTGATGGTGTTGGGCTTTAAAAGGAAAATGAAAAGTACTTTCGGTTCTTTGTTTGGATTTTTGTTCTGCTTTCGCCAAAATGGTTGGTCAGCAGGGCAAAAGGCCAAACCCAAGAAAAAAGAATCTGAAATGTTAGCGATTCTCCTGGCAAAGGCCAACCATCAATTATTCGCTATATTTCCTTTCGTGCTTGCTGACTACATTTTTGTCTTTGTTGTTTTTTTTCTCTTTTGGCCAACTTCTAGACCCATTCCCTGCCAACAGATACCACACACATTGGCAACGATCAGCTATGATGACCTCTGTTTCGCTGGCAAAGGAAATTTTTTGGTGAAAAGACTTAAAGTCATTCCATCCCCCTGATGGCGCACACAATTTGGTTTGGTGAATTGTTTCAATCGGCCAAAAATTTAATAAGGAAGGTAGACTTGGAGAATATTTTTGGTAAGGTTTTCCTTTTTTTGGCAAAGCTATCTTCCATACGATTAAGAAGAAAGTTTCAACATATGTGTATGTATGTTTGTATATTTTATTACAAATTTAGTTTTTTAAGGTAAATTAATTTTATAAGAAATACAAATAAAAAAGAACTTCAAAGAGCTTACAAGACCCCTGTAATTCCATTTAAACTTAGACCTATGTCAGATTTTTTGGCAATTGTTTTATGTTTTTTTTTTATTTGGCATATGATGTTATTCTGCAAGAGATTTAGATTTATTTTAATAAAGAATTTAATTTTCTTTAATAAATCCACGCCTAGATGGAGCTTCAAATAATTTTCTTTAATAAATCAACGCCTAGATGGAGCTTCGTATTTCTTTAATAAATCCACGCCTAGTTGGAGCTTCAAATGATTTTCTTTAATAAATCCACGCCTAGATGGAGCTTCGTATACATTTTCTTTAATAAATCCACGCCTAGATGGAGCTTCATATAATTTTCTTTAATAAATCCACGCCTAGATGGAGCTTCAAATAATTTTCTTTAATAAATCCACGCCTAGATGGAGCTTCAAATAATTTTCTTTAATAAATCCACGCCTAGATGGAGCTTCAAATAATTTTCTTTAATAAATCCACGCCTAGATGGAGCTTCAAATAATTTTCTTTAATAAATCCACGCCTAGATGGAGCTTCAAATAATTTTCTTTAATAAATCCACGCCTAGATAGAGCTTCAAATAATTTTCTTTAATAAATCCACGCCTTATGGAGCTTTAATTTTCTTTAATAAATCCACGCCTTAATGGAGCTTCAAATAATTTTCTTTAATAAATCCACGCATAGATGGAGCTTCAAATAATTTTCTTTAATAAATCCACGCCTAGATGGAGCTTCAAATAATTTTCTTTAATAAATCCACGCCTAGATGGAGCTTCAAATAATTTTCTTTAATAAATCCACACCTAGATGGACCTTACTATAATTTTCTTTAATAAATCCACGCCTTAGATGGAGCTTCAAATAATTTTCTTTAATAAATCCACGCCTTAGATGGACTTTGAAATAATTTTCTTTAATAAATACAAGAATTTTATGGTCGTTGAAAAAATATTCTTTAATAAATCCACACCTTGAGGGACTTTCAAATAATTTTCTTTAATAAATCCACGCCTTAGATGGACCTTCAAATAATTTTCTTTAATAAATCCACGCCTAGATGAAGCTTCATATAATTTTTCTTTGATAAATCCACGCCTAGATGGAGCTTCAAATAATTTTCTTTAATAAATCCACGCCTAGATGGATCTTCAAATAATTTTCTTTAATAAATCCACGCCTAGATGGATCTTCAAATAATTTTCTTTAATAAATCCACGCCTAGATGAAGCTTCATATAATTTTTCTTTGATAAATCCACGCCTAGATGGAGCTTCAAATAATTTTCTTTAATAAATCCACGCCTTTTTCAAATCATTTTCTTTAATAAATCCACGCCTAGATGGAGCTTCAAGTAATTGTCTTTAATAAATCCACGCCTAGATGGAGCTTCAAGTAATTGTCTTTAATAAATCCACGCCTAGATGGAGCTTCAAATAATTTTCTTTAATAAATTTACGCCTAGATGGAGCTTCAAATAATTTTCTTTAATAAATCCACGCCTAGATGGAGCTTCAAATAATTTTCTTTAATAAATCCACGCCTAGATGGAGCTTCAAATAATTTTCTTTAATAAATCCACGCCTATTTTCTTTAATAAATCCACGCCTAGATGGAGCTTCAAATAATTTTCTTTAATAAATCCACGCCTAGATGGAGCTTCAAATAATTTTCTTTAATAAATCCACGCCTAGATGGAGCTTCAAATAATTTTCTTTAATAAATCCACGCCTAGATGGAGCTTCAAATAATTTTCTTTAATAAATCCACGCCTAGATGGAGCTTCAAATAATTTTCTTTAATAAATCCACACCTTGTAGGGTATTTCTAAACATAGAAACACCTCATTTGCTAACATTTATTAATTAATTAATTATATCCAAATTAATCATATGAGCTTAATATTCAACAGCAACCCAATACTTTTTGTCTCTATACTAAAAACTTATTATATATAATTAAATATTGTAAATATATA